CATTTATCAAATATATTTAAATCTTAATACAATTAGTCCCTCTGATAAATTTCGATAATGTAATAAGAAAGACGAAGATTATCAGGTGTTGTATAAAAGTGTAAAAGGGTGAATACTAACGTTTATTGAAGCCTTAGCCATACGAAAATTCAAAACCCCTTTGTGTGTTCAAAAACAGTTTGTTCTTACCTTAAACCTACCCTGGTAATATTGACTAGTTATCCAGAGTGATTAGGTTTTGAATTGTGTTCACATTATTATTATTATTACTCTTATCTTTATCCTTATCTCCTCTTACCTCGTTTCCTGCCTAGTTGACCTTTTATTTTTTTATATATATAAATGCTCTTAACAAGTATATGTGTGATCAGTTTGTTCGAAATGTATTGCACCAAAATATCACATAGTTCTGACAATCTTCGTCTTCTTTTTACATTATCGAAGTAAATCTTAATACATTATTATTATTATTATTATTATTGGAATCAGTGAATTTTTCTCATAGAATCAAAACACTTAAAATCAATATCTTTGTCTAGACAATTTCTAAAGAAGTTGTTAGTGTGTTTTAAATAATAAATTATAAGTGTTATTTGTGTTTCTGTACAACAATTCACTTATTATGAGTTTTCTCTTTAATTGTAAAGTTATTTTGGGGTATACTTTAACCATATATATATACATATATATACCTATCAAGGTTTATTGATTTATTGGGATTGCCAGTATAAAGTAGAGTAGGTTTTTAATCAGGAAATTATTATTATTATTATTTCATAAGTAATACAGTGTGAAGTAATTTTGTGTTGTTCAAAACGTTTTATCAACTCAAATGATACATAAATTCAATTTAATTAAAACTAAAATCATTTCATATTGAAAATAGAATTCTTAATTATTAAAGATCAGAAGTGCATAATGCTGAAAGAAAAATTAAAAACATAAATGAAAATCGTTTGTTTTTTATATATAAAATGTATGTTTTGTTTTCTAAATAATACTAGTACTGATAATAAAAAGTCAGTCAGTCAGTCAGTAACAACGTAGAACTTCGTACCTACGTACATTAGTTCGAGTTGCCACACCACATTAGCACAGAGATGCAATTGTCGACCCGAATTCCGTAGTGGTAGATGTAGTAAGAGTATAAGCAGTAATCAGAAACATTAGGGTGTGAAGCAGATAAAACACAACGTTAATAATATAGAATTTTTATGTTTCGATAAACCAACAACAAAATTTATGATTTATATTTATAGGTTACTGATTTATTGTGATTGGAAATGTAAAGAAGAAAAAAAGTCGGAAAATTTAAGTATTAAAAAATTTATATAAGATATTATTGATATAAATAGAATAAGAGAACATAAAAGTATATTGGCAAATTTTCTATGAGGGATCGATACTTACTTACTTACTTATGCCTGTTACTCCCTGTGAAGGAGCATAGGCCGCTCACCAGCATTCGCCATCCAACCCTGTCCTGGGCAATCCTTTCCAGCTCCTTCCGGTTTTTATTCATCCTTTTCATATCTGCTTCGATTTCCCGACGTAATGTTTTCTTTGACCTTCCTCTTTTCTGCTTCCCTTCAGAATTCCAAGTTAGGGCTTGCCTCATCATGCAGTTTGATGATTTGCGTAGTGTATGTCCTATCCATTTCTATCGTCTTTTCCTAATTTCCTCTTCAGTTGGAAGCTGATTTGTTCTCTCCCAGAGAAGGCTGTTGCTGATGGTATCCGACCAATGGATGTTGAGTATCTTGCGTAGACAACCATTTATAAATACTTGTACTTGTGTCATAATTATTGATATGCTTATCGATCCCTCATCGATAAGCATATCAATAATTATGATATTTATTCTGAACATAAAAAGGAGATATTAGTTGTCAATTAATTATTATTCTTTGATTAAAATTTGTTTACTACTAACAAATGGACATGTGATAATAATAATAACATAATAAATTATTTTTCTAATTTCTTTCTTTTTCAGAACCGTAGATGAAACAGTATTTTTTTGATAAAAAAAAGTAAAGTTGATAGGGGTTACACTAATTAGTATCTAGATAGAAAAAAAACTAATGTTCATTAATCTCATTTGTAGCAATAAATGATCTTGTAGTTTTGTTCAATTTATTTTATAATGGATAGTTATATTAAGGAGGTAGTTGATATTTGAAAGAAGAAACATTAAATATCATTTTAGTATTTCATACTTTGTGATTTAAACTAACAAAGTTTGTTGTTGTTGTTGCTAGATCATGTTAAACCATCATCGAAAATCTAGAAGCAATGTATGGCTGTTTCATCATAGTATGAGACAATTCAACAGTACATATCAACGACACCGGATGCAAGAGTCGAACTCAGGACCTTCGGTTTTGCGCGCCAACCTGAAGCTTTCTGATCACTGAGTCAGCTCCCATATGTGTGAATATCTAATTTTAAACAATCCACGACGTTTTATGACCATTTTCTATTGTCACCGGTGAATAACCACCTCACACCCCACACGGTTGAACTACACTGGTCAATGAAACTCAGAAGTCTCCACAATCTAATAATGATAATTATCATGTGCTCGCTAATGACTAGCTTCAAGAGAAAATTTCCGGAGTTATATTAAAAATCCAGAACTTGTAGAGGTACTTCTATCTGAAGTTTATGTTGATAATGTCGTTCAGAAGAACGATGAAAGCTCAACGACCAAACCATTCAGCTCAGAGAACAAAACTCCATCAAAATAGTAGAGGTACACCTTATGGGATGCGTGGCATTTGCCCATAAAAAACAATGGGAGGCGGTTGAACAATATTATGAATTGATTGAACTTAGACATTAACACCATTTTATGCCAAGTCAGTTGTCCAGAGCCTAAGCGGTTACACACGAGATTAAAGGTCTTGTGTTCGAGCTACGCACACAGGATCGTGGATGTGCACTGTTCAGAAATCTAATACTAGGACGAGACAGCGTTCACCGAGTTGAGGTTTTCAGAGGTGGTCTAACATTGATTGTTTCATGATTTCAGTGAAATTCAGCAATCTCCACAATTCTATACGAATGATACTGTATGCTGAATTGAGGAAATAATAAATCTAGTGACATCGTATACATACAGACTGAGACAAAGGAAAGAGCCTTTACTTGTTTAGAACATGATATTAAAAATGTATCAAACTCTCAGTTATTTATAATTTGTAACAATGTCTGTTTGAGAGTTTCATTAGTATGTTGATTGTTTTTATCGCGTCGACTGCAAATGTAAATTCTAGTTGTTTGCTGTATTCGCTATATCATTATGAGGTATATTAGCATACAAGATCCATCAATTACTCAGTTATTATTATGTTATACAGCATTAGTTCTTCTAACATATTTCATGTGCTGAAATATATCATTTCATGAAGTTATAATTCTACGTTAAACGTTTAAATTAAATGACTTTACTATTAACCTTTTTAATTAAATAATGAAAAAAATTAGGGATGTACTACTATGAGTTTATTCTTATCTTATGATTTATAGTGGTTTTATAATTCCTACTTAACATATAACACAAATCCCAACCTTAAACAGATGCATTCAAACAATCGTACTGTTTAACATCCTGTGACTTTTAAAGCTCAAAAAGTAATTTTTCTAGATGAAACTCACGATTATACTAAAGTTTACACTTAATATTCAAAATACTTGAGTTGCATACCTATATACATTACGTTTCGCATTGATAATATCAGAAAATTTTGAAACTATTTTACATTGATTGAAATCATGAGTCAATTGTAGCTAGACCACCATGGAAAACCTAGAAGCACTGGACGGCCATTTCCTCCTAGTATGGGACTCCTCAGCAGTGCGCATCCAAGATCCCGCACCCCGCGAGATTTGAACCCAGGACCTATCAGTCTCGCGCCAGGTGCTTAACAAACTAGACCACTAAGGAATCCCATACTAGAACGAAACGGTCGTCTAGTGCCTCCAGATTTTCCATGGTGGTCTAGCTTCAATTGACTCATGATTTCAATCAGTGGAATTTCTAAACTCTCCACAAAACCCCTTCCGATATTTTACATTTTTCAGTCTATGAGTTGTCCCAGTTTTTAATGAAACTAGGTATATGTATGTAAATTAACCAAATAATAAAGTCCTTGATTGTAAAGCTTGCTCAAAATGTTTATTATATCGGAAAAGCAATGTCACTGACTATTGCATGTTCATCAAAGAGAGACAAATTAATTCCTATAAACAAGTGTTTCTTCGAATTTTTATGTTAGTTCACCTCAGATACAGTCACAAGTTAGTTACACAATCAATACATTGATTGTAATATACATGATACAAGACAGACCATCATGATAAATTAATTGTAGATTTGTAAACAAACGTAATGCTCAGCTAGTATAACCTGGAACTTCTTCTTAAGTCATAAAGTCATTGAAATGTCAAGTGACTGTCATCTAGAAATCCTCGATATATTATTATACTATGATCAAGACAAACTGAAGTGATACCAAACATTATTCACAGATATTTATTCATCTAAATCTTGATCGCATCCATAAATGTGTAAAATCAGAAAATGTGTCTGTTTTTGTTGGAAAGAATGAGAAACTAAATGTACAATACAAAGATATCAGGGATATTTTGAAAATTGAACATTTTCTTAAGTAAAGAATATTTTTAACCGCATTATTCAATTATTAATTTTACTTCCATAACTAAATACAATGAAAATTTACGAATATATCTAGTAGGTACTCAATCACTTTATGCTCCAAAGAATAAATGATGTTTGGTTAATTTAGAACCCAGTGATTAAATATTACTGTATACACCTAGTGAGTAATATATTGCCTTAGTTAGTTATTCATTCACGCAAAATAATCAAAATTTTTAAAACATTTTATTTTGTTTACTGTGGAAAGTTATTAAACCATAGCATATTTGAATCTTTTATGATAAATATTTACTCTTTTTTTTTCTTCATGTGACAGGCTGAACTAGGTGAAATACACCGAGAAAATATTAAACTATCACAAGAAGTACAATCAACAGTTGATGTTGGTATTCAAACTTTAACATGTTCCTTAGAAGAAGAAGAAGAAGAATTGATTCGTCAAAGAAATTGTACACATTTAACACAATCCAAAGAGATAACAACAAATTTATGCAGTTCTAGTGTTCAAACATATGATGAAAATTTAAAAAGTACATGTGATTTTCAAGTTCAAACAGACTTCAATCATAATTTCTCTTCGATAAAAATTGATCAACACTATAATAACAGAAGTTTACAACTTTTAAATGTTAGTTTAATTAAACTTGTTCATGCACTACGTGTGGAATTAGACTCAGCTCAAAATGAATTATATATGAGAAATGGGAAATAAGTTTAATATTCTTAAAATAATGAAGATTATCAAATATTTATTGACTTATTTAATTAAATAAATTAATTCATCAACTATGTAAAACATGTTTTTATACTATTATCAGAATAATAAATTATAAGCGTACAAAAAGAAGGTAAAATATATTACACATTTATGGATTTATCTGTTAGAGTTTGATTACTGACATTGTTCAAGAATCCTCCAAATGCCTTGGTACGGCCGAGAGTGGGGAGAGTCCGTTCTCCCTCTCGAAATGCTCTCACATGGCCACGCGTATATAGCCTCTGCCAAGGAAGTCTTACTCATTGCCTTCTCGTGGCGGGGTTGTTGTCTGCGAAAAATGTGAGGACGAAAAGCGAATGTCCGGCGCTTTAACCAGATCCCAAACCAATGGTGTACATGGACTCCAGTATCCTGCGGAAACAAATGGCGTATGAATTAATCGTTGGTCACCAGCTACCATGGGACTGCATCTCCTTACGATGCTCCACTGCATTGTGGATCAGACCTTCAGGTTGCAGGCTCCGGATGTAGCCTCCTAAGAAAACCACCTGCTTTGGTTTGAGCACCCGGGCAGTATTATAGCATTCACACATATCAAATGAGATTTGTGTGGCGCATATGTATTTGGTGCCTCCTTGTACCAATATCTTTGTGTTAAAATAAATAAATAAATAAATAAATCAAGAATCCCTATCATAACGATACAGGAAATGATTTTCATTCTACTTGATACTTATCGATTCTAGATAATTCCATTAATCTGTAGTGTCGGTTGCTGTGTTAAACCTATATAACTTATGCTAGCTTCTGAACAGGCCAATTTATTCATTAATCCTGAGTCACATGTTGACTTTGTCAATTATTCACTTATCAACCTTGACTGTTTTTATATAAGCATATGTGTGTACAATTCTTATCCTTTTCATCACATGTCTGTAGCTTATTTTTATCTGGCTATATATATTAATTAACGCTGCGCGTCATTTTTCTTCGATCTTTTCTGTTCGTTTCATCTCTCCTTGATTACCTGTCCAGATCAGTGAGTGTACAAAATATATGTGCTCAGAAATCCATTCTTGTATTTAACTTATTTTAATTCCGTTATTCGCTAACGTGAGTTCAGTCGACAGATATATACAAGAATAGTCAGGATGTATATTTCAACAATCAATCATACGATTCAATTGGAGTCAGATAAAGGGCCACTAAAAGTCAACATTTTCATAAATCATTTGACTCTCATCAGAAACAAGTTTCAGGTTTAATTTTCATTTTAAATAGTATAAGAGAATAATTTACATTCAGCTACCTACATTTGAATAAACACAAAAATGTTGAATGGGACATAATATTAGGAGTGAATTCGTATTGTCTGACAGCAACAACAACTGATTAGAGTTCAGAAAATTACATAAGTAAGGAAAAAAATCTGATTTCACTTAGCAATGAAATGGAAATACGTCATTTACATATTGTGAGCAACAGTTATGACTCAGAAACATCGATATCTGAAGATTAATTTGAGACCGTAATACAAATTGATGAAAAAGTTAATTGAACATTTCCTTATAGTTTCATTGTGTATATAGAGTTGTTTATAATAGTCTAATGACGTGAAGTAGATTAGAATTCAGCGTTTTAAAAATTGGTATTTGATCATATGGAATAGTTGATACTCACAGCAAACAAGATATTAATTTACAACTACGTTGTAAGTAACGAGTATTCGGTAATTCAACCACTTTCTTATGATTTCTCCTTTTTTCTATGTTCAAACAATAAGTGTTTGAAACTTAAATTTAATGGTAGATACCAGTGACCAGGAACAAGGCAAATACACTGAAAATCGAAGTGGTGTAATTAATAAATGATTAACTGATTAAAGGTTATACTGTGGTGTATGCTACTTATGTGGACATAAGTAGTATAAAACGCTAGTTAGGAATAGAATGTTTGGCAGCAGGAGGTTGAGAAGATCGAGTAGGAAAGAACGGGAACGGAAAGCGATTGGTATGGAAGTACAAGGACGATGACGTCTGAGATAATTAATGGACATTTTACAAATGAAGTATTGGAGTATAGTTTTGCTATTTTATTATTATTTTATAATCGGTTGTCCTCACCTGCGTTCTCCTTCACCACAACATAATCTGAAGTCATCACTGAAAGGGTACCAAGAAAATTACAAAAATGTGGAAATTCGGCTTTTGTTGGATGAGAGTGAACAGAAGTTTCTCAGGAAGTGTAATGATTGTCCAATGAAATGTTTTCAAATACTAAAGATTCAGTGTAATCAATGTACGAAAAATATACTGTAGAAGTACATACTAGCTCATTATCTATAAGTTACTGAGTACGAAATCATACGATTGGAGTAAATACTTTCTCATGCGTCCGAATTCATCAGTGTCCACAATTTTAGCATTCAATATCACAAGAATTTCAAAGCATTGAGAATTTATCAAATATTTGCTATTTACCAAAATATTAGGCGTAATGTCATAAACTACTTTTAAACATATAAGTAAAATGGAGTGTAAATATAAAAATAGATTTTTAGAACAATTAGTCCCTTTGATAAATTTCGATAATGATATTAGAAGACGAAGATTATCAGAACTATGTGATATATTAGCGCAATACATTTCGAACAATCTGGTCACACATATACCTTTTATTTTTATATATAAATGCTCTTAACAAGTATATGTGTGACCAGATTGTTCGAAATGTATTGCGCTAATATATCACATAGTTCTGATAATCTTCGTCTTCTAATATCATTATCGAAATAGATTTTTAGGTTATGTGGATTAACTAATTATAGAACAATTAAAATACAATTTTTATTTTGTTTGCAGCTAAACGAGGAAAGCCTCTAAATCTCTTTTAGAACTCGCATTTACATATCAAACCATCACTTTTTATAGAGTTTCCAAGTGATTACAGGGAGCTTATGTTACCCTATATTGTCAGCTATCAAATAACCTCAATATTAATAATTTTATAGAGTTTATCTTAATGCTGATGCAAATGAAAAGTTTATATACATTATTTACAACTTCCAGTGCCGTCCCAGTAGTATATTGTAGGCATAATTAATCAGATTTGTCCAATACGTATCATGTTAGGGACATGTTTTGAACACAATTAACAATGAAATTCTGCATCTGGTGGCCCGCTTGAATATCTGGGCTAACTGTTCCTGTCATATAGATCATTCAACGAGTTATCTCTCTTTGCTTGTTTTAGTACATCATCATGTCTATCAATCGTCTAACCTATTCAGATGCGTTTATCAAAGATTTACAACATTTCGCCGTACAACATACAAAAAAGTACAATCAGAGACATCGTGGTGTCTGGCAATATGCATTGAAAAGAATGAACATCATTCAGATGTCGATTCCTGAACTGCTAACAGCCAACTGACGATGAATAATTTCCAGGGTGCACTATCTTCGATTCATACTAAGTCTAGACATGTACCATAATTCTGGTATAACCATAATTCAATAATCCTGATCAAATGATTTATAAGACAACTGTTCATTATCACTGCGAGATTTCAATATTTGCCATTAGGATCGATCAAGCAATAAGAAAATAAAACTGCTTGAAATAATCTGTGCTGAGAATTCCGTATTGTGTCAAAAATATAATACTAAATAAAGTCATTAATAATGATGATTATATAGTCATAATAAACTAGGGAATAAGTGAATAAAACTGTGCTGTGATGTAAACTTTGATCAATTCATCAGTCAATCGGAAAAGTGTTTAGTTATCAATTAATGAATAATTTAAAAAAGTAGGTTTGGTAATCCGCTTCATCATAATTAGTGATCAAAAACGGTTAGGGTTGGGAATTCAAAGTCTAAGAACAGTCAGGAGTTATGGACAAGGAATGGATTAACGGTTTTTACCGCAAACTGAAACCATTTATAACTATAGTTCCATCTTGTTACGGTTATTTATTGGGGTTATGGGGGCTAGGCTTACTAGTCATGGTTAAAGTGAGTGTGTACTTTTTAGCTTTAGAAGCATCCTTCACAATACCTTGAATCACATCAAGTACACCCAATGTGTTACTGCATATTTGCGGTCAGCTATAGGGAATTATTAGCTGAGCTCTAATTAAGAAATGAGCTAACCTCCACTGCGTTCCCGATTTTACGCAAAATGCAGTAATCACTTTTTTAACTGTGATGATTCGCAAAAGGGCGTTAGTGTAGTACCGTTTTACCTATTTGTTATTATACTCTAGCATTAATAATTTTCTCTACTTCAGTATAGATGTTGTATCGAACTGTTCGTTTTATATAATTCCAAGATGTTGATCGATACATAGCATCAGCTATTGTATGAAATTGAAAAACCATTGTAACTGTAACTGAATAATCTTTTTATATGTAATGTTCTACAGAATCTTTATGAATAACAGAGAGAATTGTCAACCAAATATAGTCAGTTTCCTTTTTTATTTGTATGTTTACATCTATCTCGAAGCCATAGTAACAATCAACTTATTTAGGTAGCATTAATAGCAAAAAGATACTGGAATGTCATTATACATAGTTTTAACACAGATTTAAATAAATAAAATGCGGAAAGTTACTATTATGCAACGGTTGTGTCTAGACATTTCAATTGTTTGGACAAAATGAAACTGTAAATATTCTTTCTTGTTATGTTAAAGATTCAAAATATTATTCCTTGAAGCTGTAACAAGTTTGTATTGGGTTCAATAAAGTAAGAAAATAAAATGAGGAAACGGTAGATATAAGCCTTATCAAAAATATTCATCGTAGCTGAATTCAGGATCTTTCACCTTCATAACTATGTAAAACTAAAATATCAACTTATAATCTTGACAAACCTTAAAAATTAGTTGAATATTGGAACACCTTTTTTTCACGAATGTCAACTTCGTAATTTTAAATATTATTTGATCATACCTAACATAATAGGATAGAAAAAAGTCCATTGCATTGTTTCAATGAGTGTAATTCAATAGACATAATTGTGAAAAAATAAATTGATGTGGACAGACTATTGTTGAGTTTGTTTGAAATAAATCTTCAAACTATTCGTCTCATACTTACTTACTTTCACCTGTTACCCCTCGTGGAGCAAGGATCATCGACCAGGATTCTCCGACCAACAGCTTTTCCTTTCCAGTTCTTTGCATTCGTTATTCATTCTTTTGATGTTTTCTTTCAATCCCGATGCAATGTGTTATTTGATCTGCCACTGTATTTTTTACTTTCAGGATTAAAAGCTTTGTGATGCAGTTTGATGAATTCTACGATGCATCCGATCCACTTTTATCGTCTTTTCATAATTTCCTTATCAGTTAGAAGTTGGTTAGTTCTCTTCCACAGTACGTTGTTATTGATGGTATGCGGTCAACGGACAGTTAGTATCATACGTATATAAATGTTTATAAATACTTATGCGTTTTTGATGATGGTTGTGGT